TTTTCAAGTTATGTATATTTATTAATGATACCCACCATGCTATATTAGACAGTTTATGATTGTATATTGCCACATTGTACATCTAACACCAGTACCTAGCAATTGCTTTCACATCATATTTAGTTAGTAATGACTGATCTCCATGTTTATAATGCGCAGTATACAACTCGAAAACATAAACAAGTTACAGAAAAAGACCCTAATAAAAACATTAGAACATGCTAAACTAATTTCAATATATTCAGCGTAAGCACCGATCGGAAGAGTTCAAAAGTATGTAAGACACTTGCTCTTGCGTTTGTGTGTGAAAATGGTCTCCCGTTGTAGGAACCAGCAGTAATCACTCATCATGTTTGAGTTGAACCGGCCTTGATACCTAGTTTCCATCACCGACATGCCTTGGTGGAACCTTTCACCATGCTCATCACTTACCTCACTCAGATTAGGTTGAAAGAAATCAAGATGAGAACGCAAGAAGTGCATTTTAAGAGATATCCTATAGCCCATTCGCTGATAGGCCTTCAGCATATTGTCCACTAATTCAGCATACTGTTCAGCTCTATGTTTCCCCAAAAAGTTCTGCACAACCAACACAAATGCTTCCTATGCTGCAAACTCAAGTGGGTTCAGTTTATTTTTGAACTCGCGATCACACATCAGCTCTCGGATCTGGGGCTCAACGAACATGCCTACTTTGAGTTTAGCATCAGTTTTCTCTGCGCCAAACTTCTCTCTGATATACTGGAAACCATTACCGTCATGATTCATTGCCTTTACAAATTTTTTCATAAAACCAGGTTTGATGTGAAGCGATGGAAGGTAGACTTTCTGAGGGTCTACCAATGGCTTATGCTGCACATTGAACCTGCCAACTGTGTGTTCATGTCTTTCAGGCCAGTCTTTTACAACATAATAATTGTTGTAGTCACGGCTGTTCCATAGGCACAAAAAGCACATGTGTTTTGTTTACCCCAGCTGCAGTCCTAGGAGGAGAGAAATCACCTTTAGATCACCGCACAAGTTCCACTAGTGAGCTGAATAGTTAATCACTTTCAAAGGTATTTCCATCGACTCATACGTCTCCTTCATGCCGACAGCATGAGCTACAGGAACAGGAGGTTTTTTTGCTATCTCTGTGTGACAACACAGCTTTGAGGCTCACTCTGCTGGAGTCCATGTAGAGTCTCCATTCATCAGGCACATGTTTGTTTCGTTGCTCATGCACGAGGCCATTAACATCAGTGTAGAAACAAACATTATTTTCTATTTTAAATTCTGGCAGCTAAGTTTGTGTGGCGATCACAGAAGAGGGAAATTTTGGTACCTTCCTGTAAGAGGTTCCATTGCTGTAGTCTGGAGCGCAACACTTCTGCCTTCTCTTTTGTCAATGACAGGTCTCTCACCAGATCGTTCAACTCTTCTTGATTTAGCAAGTGTGGCTTCTTTTCCTCAGATTCTGGTTCATGCAGTTGATCCATAACAGCATCATCGCACTCATCATCATCAGAGTTGTCAACGCTTTTAACTGCAGCATCTGTTGGGGGAACTGGCACAGGCGAATTCAAGTCATGGGAACCGGCTTCAGAGCAGACTTCCTTTCTTCATATACAGTTTTTGACTTGTTTTTCTTTGACAAACCAGCAAGACTTGTTATACACAAGTTGCAGTCAGAGTGATGATTCGTTGGCTCACGCCATACCATTGGCACAGCAAAAGGCATTCCCATTCTTTTGCCACTCAACCACTGCGTAAGCCCCGAATTACAAACGGTGCAGCAAACATGAGGTGCCCATATCTTGCCTTGGTCTCCAACTTTACATCCAAAATAATACTTGTAAGCAGTTTTCACTCTGTTGGCTAGGTTCTTGCACTGGTCACGTGGAGTGTATTCTCCACAGATATAGCAAAAGTTATCAGGATGATTCACACAGCCTCGTCTATTCATGATGTCTGTAGTAACATAGGCCTAACCTGAAAATACACAGAATAAATATTAGGCTATACCCTGAGAAGACATAGATGTTATTAGCATGACATAAATTCCAAACTAGATGCTTTCTTAAAAGGTATACATTACATTTAAAACCTTTAATATCAAGTTATTATTCCAATTATGCTGGGCTGCAGGAAGGTGCTCCTTAGAGTAACTTTTCAGGGCCCGTGGGTTAGCAGAGCGAGAAATTAGCATAGGCTTCAATTTGAATTCGCCAGCAGTGTTCCCGCCAAGAAGCAGCGACAAGCGGTCTTTTGATGCTTTAAAACCTGGCGCTCTTTTGCTGCTTTAAAACCCGACGCTCTTTTTGCCTCCTTGGAGATATAGGTTCTCTCGGGCATCCTCTTCCAAAAGAGACCAATCTCATCCACATTGAAGACTTGCTTCGTTGAGTAGCCTCTTTCCTTGATAATGCTTTTGAACTCCGGTGGGAATATCTCGACAGCAATAGTAACTGAACTAGCAGCTTCACCAGTCATCTTAATGTTATGGAAGTTATAACGATGCTTAAAAAGTTGAAACCATCCTTGGCTGGCAGTAAAGGTATCATCCTTCGATCCTTCACCCTCTACTGCCTTTAAGTCGTCAGACAAGGATTTTGCTTTATGCTGGATAACTATAACGCTCACAGGGGCATTGCGTTGATTTCGGTCCTCCAACCACACAACGAGCATCTTTTCCAGCTTTTCAATAACTGAACTTCGAGCACGACTAGTGTTTGTTGCACTCAGAGAACTACCACTTCCAGCACTAACCTTAATCTTGTTCGTGCTGGTCCGGATACCATGAACTGTTGAAAGGGTTAAACCAAGCGCACCAGTAATGTCCACCCCATGTTCACCTTTCTCAAAACGGTTTAAAACCTCCATTTTCGTAGCAAGGCTAATGGTCTTACGGTGCTTCTTCACAACACTAGCATCATTAGCACTTGATGAGCACTTGGACGCCATTTCGAATGGTTAGAGTACAGTTTTAAGAGCAAAAACACCTAAACACACATGAACTCTGTGGTACCCAAACAAAGACTGGTGACGCTTGTTGACGCTATGTGATACTCCACAGTGA